AAACCTTGCACCTTGCAGGCCTTGCACCACACTCTTTCTTTAATTTTATCACTCTCCCACTGGCACCACCACCACCTCCAACCCTCATCCTCTCCCTCCTTTCAGACCTCGAAACGGACGACACGCCAATCCATTCGACCTCGACCAAAATTTGCTTTTTGGGAGTTGTCGACGTTAGGTTTCAGGTTATATCTCTTTCTTTCTTTTTTCTTCCTACATCAACATCCGCCTCTCAGCACGAAGTAGAGACTAGGACCGCTCCTTCTCCTCAGTCCTTTTGCGTCGGGAAAAAAAGGGAAGATTCAAGAACAAGGAGAGAGAAGTGATAGAGAGTGAGCCAGACGTGCATCCGACGTGTGCACTCTAAGCGGGGGACTATCATCACAATTGCCGTCTTCATGGCTACCTAAACAGTGAGCGCCGACTTTGGATCCTCGATCTTTACCTTTGCGAACCCGCGTCGAACGAACTCGGACCTGCCCAATTTCCTGCTCGCCTCTTTCAGCCAACCGAGCAGTGCCGTTTCTTCGATCACCACCACAACACTGGAAAGGCGAACATAGGCCGCTGCCGCTATTGATTTACAAGGACAACAACCTCGGCGCATTCTCCCTCGGCCATCCATATCGTATCTCTTTCCATTGGAGCATCCTTTCTCAAGTAAGTTGGCATTTATGATTTCCGTCGCCCGCCCGCTTCATAACCTATGCACTGTTATCATCGAGTCGAATCTCGAACCTCCACATCAAAGCACAACCACTACGACGAAGCACGAGAAGTAATCCTAAGTCTCATCACCACATCACGACGCTTCCCAAGGGTTTCTTCATGAATTTTGAATTGCGCGTTATAAGTCTCATTGTCTTTTGAGCCGAGTACAAATACTATGGTTCGGGGGTTGATCTACCTCTTGGAGCGGTAGCATTCGGTTCCGCTTTGGCATTTTCCTCGTTGTATCAAGCCCACTATTCAGTTCTTTCCATCAAGCTACAGTCGAAGTTTGGCGACCAAGATATACAACACCGTCGTTACGGATGACTTATAAGAGTAATATGTGGGAAACAAAACGCGTGCACAGTAGTTCATTGTTTTCTCATTCCCGTCGTGGCCCTGTGCCGGACACAAGGATATTGTATCACTAACCAAGAACAGTTTTCTAGAGAAGCCTTTTTTCCTACAGCGTTTTCTCATATCTGACGGTAACCTACAACCAACGTTCGGCCACCTCTTCCTGACGATCCTGTCCGTACTTGGCTGAACTCGACAAACATTCGCGACCGCTTCTCGACCAGACAAGCCCGCGACTACCCACATTTCATTGCCTCGACTGCATTGGACCAGGGCAATTGTTTCCTTTATAGCCATCTCAGATTGTACATCAACACGTCTGATTCATGGCTGGGGCATCTAACTAAGGTTCTCGACCTTTTTCCTCACGCGTGTATCGCTAGGCCTCGGATTAGGAAGATAGTTGTGTTGTGAACCCACGCCACTGAGTATCTCATTCGCGCGTTCAGGCAATCACCACTCCTTTCGATACAAGTCACCACAAAAACTTCTTAGTTCCAGACCCACGTCCCGATCGTCATCATGCCGGGCGGTGTGTGCGCGGTTCTCGATTACGAGACCGACGTGATGGCAGAGTATGTGGCTGAGATGTCCATGCGAATTATCCTACCTAACGCGACCGTCACCGGTGCCTTCCGAAAGTTCGTCTCGCAGATCTTGACGTCTACTCGTCTTCCCAGCACGACGATCCTCCTAGGCATGAACTATTTGGCGAAGAGGGTTAACTCGCTTAACGCTGCTGGCCAGTTCAAGCCGCAGGAGGGTGAAGTCTGGAGAATGCTCACGGTTGCCCTGCTCCTGGGTAGCAAGTTTCTCGATGATAATACCTTCCAGAATCGGTCGTGGGCCGAGGTTAGCGGCATTCCTGTCTCTGATCTCAACACGATAGAGCACCAGTGGTTGGATCATATTGGCTGGGTGCTCTATGTCAATCTTGACCGCAGCCACGACTTCAACGCTTGGCTCAAGAACTGGGAAGAGTGGCAGGAGACCAGGAAGCAGCGCCAACTGCAGCAGAAGCAGCAGCAGCAACAGTCCCAGGCTTTGGCTCGCGAGAGATTGGCTCCTATCGTCACTTCTCTTCGCCAGGAACCCGCCAGACATCATCCTTTGCTCTACGAAGGTTGGACACCCGAGGAGATTGCTGAGTATGATCGTGCTACGGTTCAGGCAGGGTTGGTCGGCGCTGCTAAGGGCGCGCCAGCCTACCGTCCCCGCGAGGGCTCGTGGTCGAATATGTACCACAATGTGTGGAACCAGACTCAGACAGCGCCTTTGACGCCGCCCGATTCCGGCTATGGCACACCAGAGTACCTCAACTCTGCTGCAGCTGTGAACTCGCAATACAACGAGTGGTTCAATCAGGCCGTTGCTGCGAGCAATTACAACCGCGATTACCAGCGCGATTACAGTCGAGACTACAGCCGCGACTACAACCGGGACTACAGCCGCGATTACAATCGAGGTTACCAGCAGTCAGCCGGCCACAACACGTTCGGCTCCAGAACTGGATCTCATCAAAGCCAGCCGTATTTCAGCAGCTACAGCCACAACCACTGGGATTCGACGGTCGCTGAGTGCAACTGTTCACACTGCTTGGCAGCTCTGCATTCCAAACCCGCGAATTATTTCCATCATCATGCTTATGGCCAAGCCGTCATGGGCTGATATCGTTATCCTGTTCCCCAATGCCTCTCGGCATAGGTGCGAGATAGGATGGTGATTCACTTTTCATTGTGTTGTACAAGCTCAGAAGAGCTGGTGCGTTAGGGGGGATTAATGTTGATGAAGTCGATTCCGACCCTTTTTTCACGGTACATTCAGGAACATACATTTTGCTATTCAGATACCCTAGGAGTTTGTCGAGGCAGGCAACGGAGCCGCGTTTCCTTGAAATCGAAATATCTTTCGAGGATTTCTTCTGCGGCGAAGCTACTCGCTGTCACGGTCACGGCCAGTTTTACGAGTCTTTCATGTGATTGAACCTCGAGTCGACTACCCTTGTGTCGCGGTCGCTTCGCCTCGGTTGTATGGTGCTTCTTTTACGACTTGGCCTTTTTAACCCTTTAATTGGCGTTCAACGACGTATTCCCCATGGTTCCGGAGTTTCTTGCTTTTGTTGTTTTCATCGTGATAGACTTTTGTCGGTTCGATTACACCGTACTCGATGAACGGTGGTAAAAGTTTGGATTTTTGGCGTTGAAAAATAAGATGGACCATACATGACGACCGATTACTATATCGTCTCCTACGTTTCTCTGACTTTGCATGGCAGGCGGATAGATTCTAGAGTTGTCCCTTTGCTGGAAGCCCTTCTGTAGAAGGTAGCTTGCCAGGTTGCACTATCAGGCATCGGATGTCGCCCCTGACCAGAGCACGGACCATCCGACGTCAATGGTAAGGGAGTTTCTACCATTTCGCAGATGGTTCTGTGTGGGCGGTGTGTTTTGGATGGGGTTTCCCATATAGAAAGATGCGAAACTATATGTGCTGGAATGCACAAAGCAGTACGTCGCGTTGTTTGTGGGAGGAGGCGCCTGTTTCGCGGTGAGACGCGGAAGGCTGAACGCATCCGAAGGGGATCATATTTCACTAGGTGCTGGATTCAGCACCTAGGGTGAAGACCGAGTGTTGTTTTGCTTCATTGAAGCGTTGTTCTTTGGTTTCACTATGTTACATTTACGGATGAACTCGATTTCTCCATTTCCATTTGGCTCGCTTGACCTGGGTCATCTGCTTTATTGGCTAGACCCAAGTCCAAGTTCGATCCCCCTTCATGTCTCCCCTGACTAGGGGTCACGGTTACTTGTCACCAGCACAATATTCAGTCACAAAAGGGGGTTCGGGTTTGGTGGTTATGGTTCCTTTCACGCGGAGTCATCTGTTGTTGATTTTTGATTTCACGGTTAATGCACCGTAGAAAGGTGCTTTCTTTATTATGAAAGGCATGAGGATTATAGGGCAGGGTTCGGTGGCCTGCATGCCCGGATTGGCATTGGAATCGAGGTTGCAATGCACTCGAATTCCGGAGCTAGACAGACGGCAACATGTGAGGATGAAGATGAAGGGAGTAAGGTTCTTCTCGGGAAGCAATTGCCACTCATCGTCGCCGCATCATCTTGATTGGGGTATCATGATACCCGGCCAAGTTGCTAGCACTAAAGGTTGGCATCATTTTTCAGCCTTTGCTATACACACATACTACATAGTACTTCACAGAACTAGAACCCAACAGAGAAAAAAAACAAGTAAATATTTGAGAAACCTCAATACTCTGTCTTCTCTTCGACGCTCTCGGCGGACTTGTGCCTACCATGGTAGTGATTTTTTGGCGAACGGGCCAGATAGAGGATAGTACCTTGTGTGTGAGCTCGCTAGTCTACGCAATCATATCATAAGCAACCCAACCCACCCTGGTGGCATCCTGGGTGGCCGTGGTCCTATCCCAGCGGGTTCGTCATGTTTGGTCGAGTTGGTTGTATGATATCACAAGACCTCATGACTTGCCGATTCCACAGGTATCCGGAACTAGGAGTCGGGGGTGCCAAACATGCATATGCTAGTATTCGTATTTATCTTGCCTCCGAAAACTTTTCTCTCTCTGTTGAATCCACAGCCTAGACTCGCCCGCTCTCCACTTGATGATTCCATCCGCATGCCGGATCCCAACTAGTCATTGGTTAGTCTCGTTCGTTTAACAGTTCGGACCCGACCGAACACAGGACCGGTCTCTCAACGGCGTCGAAATAAAAAAAATCGAAAATCAAAGACCAAGAAAACTCTTCGTCATATGCTGAACCCACAAGCAGCATAGTATGGTACAGTATAAGAAACTACGTACGGTGTCTTGAGTAAGTAGGTATATATCTACTCAGATAACCCATTTTCGCTTATATCAGCAGCTCCATCGTAATTCGATCGTGCTTTGCCTTGCCCGGATGGTCTAGAGGTATGATTCTCGCTTAGGGTTCCAAACTTCCTAAGTTCACTACTTGTGATGGTATGCGAGAGGTCCCAGGTTCGATCCCTGGTTCGGGCCTGATTGTACTTTTTTGCCATTTGTTTTTGCTCACTCTGCTTGCCTGTCGACTTGCTTCCCTTCCCCTTCCCCTGTTTAATCGTGTAGTATATACGTAGTACAACAAGTACTGTTGCCGAGTATTACTTGGTGTCGTCTTTGAGCTAGCTAGTTAGCTAGCTATGGTCATAGATACTCATTATTCGCCAATGGTGATGATGCTCTCTCAGGGGTCAGATTATGCCTGGCTACATAGGTAAGTACCTACATAGACGTATCCATCTCACCCTGTTTGTACTCTACCTACACAAACACCCAATCACGCTGGGTACGCCGCAGCAACGGCATCGTACTCCTCCTGCGTCAGCGGCGTGACGGAGCCGTGCTTCAGACCGCGTGGGAACCCACTGCTGCTGCTGCTCGACGCCCGCCAGCTCGACGCATCGTCGATATCCGACGTCTCGAAGGCCACGTACTCGGTATAATCGTCGAGCAGCAGGTGATACAAGCCCGGGACGACGTTATCCGCGAACGCGGCCGGGCCCTCGCGCGGGCTCCCCTCCGTCACGTACCCGTCATCCTCGTCCCCTCCGCCACGCGTCCACGTCTCGGCCCCGCCGAACAGCCCCGCATCCGTCGTCTCCTGGTACACGCGCAGGGCGGTCTCGTTCTTGACGAAGCGCGCCCACCGGCCGGGAGAGCCCAGGTACTGGAACTCCTGGTCGATGACGGGCGTGTCCGCCGGCGCCAGGTAGTCCTCGGGCGCGCCGAACGAGGCGAAGTCCGCCGTCGTCGCGTGCCGGATCCGGTCCAGCGTCGCGGCCGCGCCGGCGTGCGACTCGTCCGACGAAGCGTAGTGCCGCGACGACCAGAACACGTCGTACGTGCCCCGGGCGGAGTCCCAGACGGCTGAGGGTGCCCAGACCATGCCGGCTGTGGGGTCTTCGATGCTGTTTTTTGGTAGGTTGGATTAGGTTCTTTGGCTTGGTTTGGTTTGGTTGTACCAGCTGGCTTGGCTTGGCTTGGCTTGACTTGACTCAACTTACATCTGCAGTGTGGGCTCGGACCAGTCGACGAGGTTGGTCGACTTCCATACGACGATTCCCCGGCTACCTTGCCTGGTGGCCCAGTCCCACGAGAAGCCTTCGGCGTTGATGTCGAGGTCTTTGGGATTGAGAAATGTAAGTTAAGTAGGTAGGTAAGAGGTAACCAACTATATTGCAAAGCTTTTCACTCACCCGTGGCGATCAAGAAGAACTCGGACCGGGAAGGGTTCGTGGTGAGGAAGATATCCCGCACGCCCTTCGTCCCGACGGTCGAGCCCAGCACGGGGCGGCCGCCGTTCAGGAAGCGGAAGCTCGCCGCGCTGTTCCCCTCCGACAGGTGCCACTGCACCCGGGGGTCCGCGTCGGTGAACGTCGAGATGAGGTAGCCGGCGTACGTAGGCGATGTCTGGCGAGCCGCTGGGACGGCACTAGCGACGGCAGCAGCAGCAGCTGCTGCTGCGACTAGTACCGCTGATACTGTTCCGCGCATTTTGTTTCTTGGGACCTTGGCTGATCAGGATGGGGATGTGTCTGCGAGTAACAACACATCGCCACTCACTCCCTTTGTGAGTTTGCGTTGGCATTATGATGCAAATATATATATAGCATGGTCTAGGAGGTCGTTCGAGTGGTCGGAAAAATTACGGTGTTAGATATTCTTGGCCTCTCATTCTCCATCTCGTCGGTATGTGTGCCCTGTATTAAGCATGGCAAAGACAGGTCTGGTCTGCGGGGAATACGGCACTTATGGCTAGCATCACCGGTCTATAGGCGGACCAATCCAGGCGGTCGATGGGCGGCGTCTCTTCCCCCATCCCAGGACCTGGGAGAAGCTTGGGTGGATGGGGAAACCTGGGGTGATTACAGGGTATTGTATTGTACCTATAGTTGCCCGCAGTATAATTGACCGCTCGCTCCTTCGGCGAGATTGCAATTGCGGTAGTCACATCTTCCGAAAGGAATCTTCGCAATGTTTTTATGCAGCCAGTACTTGATACTCAGTAATATATACATGTCTATGGATAGCTGGTCAACATGGAAGTGTGTACTTGGGTGATGTGAGACATTGTCCACTTGAACAAGTACCCAAGTACTTGTCTTTGCCTATTCCGTCAACGTTCTCATCTGTCATTGGTCAGATAGGGGTCACCAAGGTCATATACGAAATATTGGCCACTTATTGGCATGAAGTAGTTCCGCTTTATTTTGTGTATGTCAACCGTACATACTTATGGCTGAAGCAACCGATAAATATATAAATCCATTGCTGGATAGCAATCCTTGAGTTGAGAGAAAACTCGAATAGTCTCAAGCGCGTCAACTACGATATCCCCGCTAGCGCTGCCCTTTAGTGACTAAGATCGTTCCGATGGCCTCGATATGAACCTTGGGTAGGTATCTTCAAGCAAGCCCTACCTCATGGATAATAATATCTGCTGCTTTCTCTCCGACCAGCAATGCCGCATTATAAGTGTTAGCTGCCACATGCTCAGGCGGAACACTAAGATCTATAATCTTAAGCCCGGATACACCGTATACGTTCAGCTTGGAATCAACTGCGATACAATCTCGTCAGCTTCAGCTTGTTGGGACAATGCTTCTCAATCTCACTCCATCGTCCTCAACTTCTGTCAGGGATGGCTAGGAATGGAACGAACAGAGGACAAAAATCGCGCGGTTTCAACTCACCGACACCGTTATCCTCGCGGGGGGCCATCTTGCAGGTTCCTAGCGGATGTCTAGAAGTTCCAACGTTCTCACGGACGTACTGCACAATAGCAGCATCGTCCTCGGCCGAGTATTCAATCTTGCCAGAAATAGGACCGTCTGCCGTTTCTATGGCGGCAGCTTTCGACCCTTCCGGAAAACTGGGTTGGCCTGCTGCAAGCTCGCCTCGGAAGATGTCCATCTGTCGCGCTATCGAGCGCTGCATCTTATAGCCCCATACATGGGTCTTCAGATCAATATCGTCCTCATCTAACAACCACCCCGGATCAAAGTCATACGGATCATCAATATCAGGACCGGTGATGTGGATATGCCCTCGCGCGTAGGAGTACGTGACCCAGGGGGCGGTCGTGACGTACTCGGCGTCATCGGGGAGGACGGCGGGGTCGCCAAAGTAGCAGTTGAACAGCCCCATGATCATGAGCGGCCGGTTGGGCGTGGCCTCGAAGTCGCGGTCCCATCTCGCTTGGAAACCGGTCCCCAGAGCGGCAATATCTGCGGCCGATGGTCGCAGCTTGCTCGACGCATCGTGGCCGTTCCACCCGAGCTGCTCATCGTCTCTCGCGATCATATCGTCCACGTCCCGACCGCGGTCGCCTCTCGCCATGCCGTTGATCGTCTCGTTTGCCTGAAGGCTGGTGCGGTAGACATAGCCGACGAATGGATGATCTAGTCAAAAGCGCCCGCTCGTTATTAACACGACAAGCCTTCGTCAACGCTTCGTGGGGAGTTCCTCCAATGCCGGGATTCAGTGACTTTACCTTGGTATTGCCCGCCTACCCCAGGGAGGCTTTCCACGACCGGTACGCCCGCTCGCCCAAGTACCGCGGGATCACCGACACCCGAGCGCTCGAGCAGCAGTGGCGTCCCGAACGAGCCCGCTGAGGCTATCACCAGCTTTCTCGCCACGACACTGCCTCTCCCTTCTCCATCTCCTTGGCTATTATCCTGAGCGAATCTCGGATTCGGCCGATACTCTACACCGACAGCACGCTTGTCCTTTCCCTCTGCGCCGTCGATCAGGATACGGAGGACCTGGTTCTCGACCAACACGTTCAGGTTAGGAAAGTCGCCGCTCTGCAGCAGAGGGTGCAGGTACCGGTGGCCAACGTCCTGGCGCCGGCCGTCCAGGGGCGATACGTACCGGTACCAGGGCCCGGACCCGTTGTTGGAGCCCAGGCTCTGCAGGTCCGCTATCGAGGGATATCCCGTCTTGATGGCGCCTTCGATGAAGGCATCTTCCGCCCGAGGTGCTTGGTGTGTCCCTTTCGACACGTGGATTGGACCGTCGTAGCCGTGCGTTGATTCGTTGCTAGTCTGACCGTGATATGTTTCGAACTGCGTTGGGGGTTATAGTTGTGAAGGCAGTTCCGTAGTTAGCAGATGTCTGCCCAAGTCAGGGGGGAAGTGGGGCAGAACTTCTCATCCGACTCCTTTATCTATATTTCACTAGAGATGCGTCCATGAAGTGAAAAGCGCTAGAAACTAGTACTGCATACCTTCTTCAGGAACGGCAAGACGTCCTCAGCCGTCCACCCGGGCGTATTCCAAGAATCGAAATCATCCCACTGGCCCCGTGTGTACACCATCCAGTTGATCGAAGAGCCTCCGCCCAGAATGCCGCCCGTCTCCACGATGGGCTCGCGGCCTGCCAGCTGCGGCGACTTGTTCGCCTTCCAGAAAAGCGCCGTGTCAGACCCGTTCATGGTATTGCGCTCGAACAGCGCCGGGTAGATGACGCTTTGCACGTTGAAGCTGTTCCTTCCCTGCTCGATGATCAGGATGGATAGGGTAGGGTCTGCTTCGGCTAGCCTTGAGGCTACTATACAGCCTGCAGTGCCGCCTGTGGTTGCAATTCAGCTGTAGGGAATCAAGCAATGGTTAATGAGGGAGGAGGGGGGGAGACCTACCCCCGGCAATGACAACATCTACTTCGGCAAGGTCGTTTGGAAGTTCTGTGTATATTCCTGTAGCATAGGCCACCGCTGCCAATGCGCCCAGGAAGGCTATCCTACTATTTAGAATCATTTTACAATTCATGAATGAGTAGCCTATAGGTAACAAACTCTATATTTGGCAGCTACCTCTGGAACCCCCATAAAGGTGACCTAGAAGTATTGAGATGTAGTATTTAGCTTAGATGCTTCTATGGATGAGAGTGACGTATGTGCTTATTGAAATACGCAATCAGCCATGGCGCCTTGCGATATACATCATTGGACCTCGATGATATTTGACCCCTGATTC